TTGAGGCATTGTGGTCCAGGGATCATTCATTTCCAACTACAGTTATCAGAGAAATTAAAAGTTAATGTAAGGGTAATATAAGAGGCGCGGTCGCCAAGGGTTAAGGTGACTGGAGTTCTTCCATGGTTTGTGATGTCTGTGAGAGGTCTGATTCTGGTTCGTCCTGCTTATTCGGGGACTTCAATCTAGGAAGTGATTCGGGGAGTTCAGTTTAGGACAGAAAATGGTTAAAAATCATGTAGGACGGAACAGAGTCTATGGCTTCGACCATGACTGCGGATTCCCGATTTCGCAAAACAGTATAACTAATTATCCATCGAAATCATCAATTCACTATCACAGGAGCATTAGCTTGAGATAGCTCAACTGTCAATTACAGATGATATTCGACTTGCCTAACTTATCACTATGGTTCTTCATTGAGAATCTAATCATAGGAAGTCAAACACGTCATCCTCAACCACTCACTGTCTCTGTAAATAAGTAAATCCGTACCTGCTCTCCGGCTTGGATACTGTAAACTCCTGCGTCAATCTCCGTTCTTCCCGTGGGCAGGTCGCCTAAAACAAATTCGTTCTCTTTTTTTTTAAACTCAAAGCAATATATGAGTCATATTTAACAACATCTTAGTCATCTTTTTCTTTCAAACGACCCATTGACTGGCTCTTGAGATGGTGCAATGAACAAAGACGTTACCCCGAAACAACTCACCCAAAATGTGCCAGATAACCCCAAACTAATGAAGCTTTTGTAGTAAACATTTTTCATGTTCCAACTGCTCACCAATAACAGAGACCGGATTGCCAAGTTTCTGGAATGAGTGCACGTTGCTGGCGTTCCCGATCCGCTGCAGATAGACCCGACCGGCCGCCGGAGGCGATTCCATTGTCTTGTTTACTTCCAGCTGAAACTCACTAGATCTTGAGAACTTAGGCAACGAAGAAAAACTTGATTCACTACTAAATAAAAGAAACTACTGAATAAGAGAAGGTATCGTTCAAGCAATAGTTGCAATACAGCCTAACGGTCACAATTTAGTATTAAGTAAAGTAGAAATGGAATATTGGAGTCTCTTACAGTGATATCAAGATCGGAGGCTCAGTTCATAATGAAAATGGTTTCTGAAATTTCCCCTGAGATGAGTTCCAAGGATAGCACGTCGGACATTGTCAGATCGACAAGGCGCTATAAGGTCTCAAAATCATAATCAAATATGGTAGCCTTGTTAAGGCTACACAATTACACCGAAATGTTCGGAAGCCGAGGAATAGCATGCTCATGTGGGAGACACCCACACGATTACGGACACCCAATCTCGTACAAACCCCCCTTTCACCCCTTTTTTTCTGGAAACTTTATAACTCTAAAAAAGGGCTGTTTGATGCTATTCCTCCGCCACTTTTGCTCTATTGAGCACCATAAACTCCATTATTTCACTTAGGCCAGAAACCTCACGATCATATTGAACTATGCCTTCAAAGCAGGAAAGAATTTATTACGTTGATGCATAATTATTGCGGATTTTTTCGCGGCTTTTTTTCTCTCGATAGAATTTGAATATTGAGTTCGGGTTTCTTCTAGAAATGATCTACTTGATTTCCTCTACAAGAATATACTCAAAGAACCATCCGCATATTCGCGAAATTAGGCTTAACTACTTCGAGANTTTCGCGATCTCAGTAACTTTTCGGCGATTGAACAATCAGCCAGAGCCAACCAAGAAATGGGATCTGCCCCTAAATCTGCCATGTTCATCAGCAGAAACATTTATGGATTATCTGGTCAACCGTTCATCGGAAAAAAGGCTAGAGATTAGAAGTTACGCCGATTTGGATGACTTGATGGCCGATGTCAAGGCATGGATCGCCCTCAAGGATCAAAACTTCTTCGCTTTTGGGGTCCGACTAGCAATCAATGGGAAGCAGTGCTTGAAAAATCCGCAATATTATGCGTCAACCTAATATATAAAGGCAGGTAAAATGCAGGGGAAATAGAAAATAAAAATAATCGTGTTTGACCGCCAGGAAATCATGTGTACTTTCATTAGATCACCTAATGAACGATCGCCGAAAAGTTACTGAGATCGCGGAATGACAATGCCACCATCCAATCTTCTCGAAGTAGTAAAGCCTAATTTTGCGGATGTGCGGATGGTTTTTTTGAGTATATTCTTGTAGAGGAAATCAAGTAAATCATTTCAAGGAAAAACCCGAACTCAATATTCAAATTCTATCGGAAGAAAAAAAGCCGCGAAAAAATCCGCAATAATTATACATCAACCCAATGGTAACAATGGTAGATAATTCGTTGCAATAATAAAGCATACGGCATATAAGTATTATAGTTCGACCTGCAGCAGTCCAGCCATGATGAATGCCATTGCTGTGAGAAGTCCTCCAACTGTCATTTTCCGTAGTGGCGTCACTTTGAACAACTGAAATGTCTTCGCTGTCAGACCTTTACAAAAAACAATTCTTCTAACCGTAAAAGGAGACTCATAAAGTGTATACAGGGAGGCGGGAGGGGAATTTGATCCAGATGTCAATTTGCCCTTGATGAAAAAAAGTGAAAGCCCTTTTCTATATCTAGTAGAAAGGCTGGAAATCGGTTGCTGTGAGAAATACAACCTTCACTGCCATCAATGAGAACCTCTCAAACAGATAGGATTCATTTAATGGAATGTTTTCATAGGGCATCGTTCGGGTACGCCGTTTCTGGTAGGTTGTTCATACGATCCTTTTGGTTTTGTTCTCTGTGGAATTCAACGGTTTCTCAAGGAAATAGTGGAAAATTCAGATCATTGGTGAGCTTGATTGCTACCCACTCATGCAAAGGAAGAATCTACTGTTCAACATTGACCTTCTCTCACAGCTACCATTCCTTCTCAGAGGCATTTTGAAGGGTTTCTTTGTAATAAAATTTTATGATAGCTCAGGGATCGCCTTTTCAAAGCATTTCAGCACATGACATTCATCAAGGAATAAGCTACCACTTCGTGAAGACCCTTCCAACTCATTCCCATACTCTCCAGATTGTGTTTGATTTCATTGGAAAGTTTTGTTACTGCTCAGTTTTGTTTATTTTTTTTTGTTTCTGCTAACTTTGTTGTTGTTTTGTTTGCAGCAGTTTTTCAAAATTTCCTTTTGTCTACTTTTGTAGAGTATGTTTTCGTTCATTGAATTTGGTGCCTGTCACGGAGTTGTGGATTATATTGCAATTACCTCACGTGACTTTTGTTCACGTCTCCAATAAATAAATAAATAAATAAATAAATAAATAAATAAATAAATAAATAAACTTCGGAGCAACAAATGGTGACTAGGAAAACCACCTTTCGTGCACATGGGTAAATGAATCCTTCGAACACGGGTACCATGATGAGAACGACAAGAGGATTGAGGATATTGATCTGTTCAGGTAGTACGGTAAGCCACCCGATTCGTCCATCCAATCGACGAGCTTGAAGCACCCATGTTGAACCCTAAACATCCACAACTAGGCCTTTCAATAAGAGGGACCTGCGTAGGAAGTCTCACTTGTTGGTCGAAAAGAGCCCAGAAGAATACGAGCGGCCCAAAGATGACTGCCACATTGACAAACGATCGCACGGCTTGGATCATCTCCGAAGAGAATTCTGGGGCAGCTCGATCCAACCAGTGAGCCACAGGCTTCGATGAACGCCTGCAGTATACATGAATATAGGGCTGGCTAGAGGTACAATGGCTGAGTTTTGATTCCGGGCCTCTGGAAAATATGTACTCACTCATAATGGGAAGTGAAACCAGCACGTTTCCACTCAAGTAATGACTTTTGAAGTCAAAACAGCAATTTGCTGAAGATTTATTGACTTTTCCGCGTCCCAAGATCACAAAATGAACCAAAGGCACTGGTGCTAGTGTGACCACATACCGGAATACCGGGTATAGGCGACCTCAGCAGGTTTTTCCCACGGCAATTAATTACCATCGCTGTAGATATCATTGATGATTGATGGGCAAATTTGCCATAACGAGAAACGATTGCTCTTCAAGTCCGACACGTGTCTTTCCGTTTTACTTCCTTACCATGACCCCTACTGTACTCTATAAGAAATTCAGAGGTTTCATACCCAAATAGTGTCCGAGTTCCAGCCAACCATATACATCGAATTACGGCGCCAGCGATATTCTCACGGCTGGGTGGGAACTTTTTGTACATTTTCCAACCGCAGAGGAAGAACAGCAAAGCGACAACCATGAGTACGCCAGGAACTCCTACAACACAAAGGAAGATCATCCTGGAAGTACGTTATGATGGAAATCGATGGCTATGAGCAATACAAGCTTCACAATGATTGATAAGAATTTTTGGAACAGATCGGGGCCACCTATTTTGACGTTCTCATGAACTAAGGTGCAGGGACGCCCTTTCTGATTTGTTCAGGCGATCCTTCTAACTTTCTTCTTTTGTGGAATTTGATGATTACGAACTATTTAAATGTCCTCCTCCTCACTACCAATAAATTGAAAGACCGACTACTCTATAGACGAGAATTGGCATCACATGAAACCAGGGCCCACTCAATATCAAAACTGCCACTGAGGGAGGGCGAAGGGAAGGTGGATTGGGAGGGGGGGGGGGGGGGGGGGGGGGGGGGGGGAAGGATCAATAGCTAAAAGAGATAGTAGAAATTGCAAGGCAAGTTATCAATCAGTTGATGTTGAGCAGCTCCTTTCACTCAGTGTTTCTGGAGCGTCGAGCCTCAACTCTAAAAGAACAGTAAAGAATGGCACATGTTAGTAATGTCTCCCAACCCACTACTTCAGGACTTTTCATCTTTCCAAGAATCGTAGCAGCCCGAAAAACTCAATATGTTTGGGTCATAAACTAGGCGAAGGATAAAGTGAAAGTTGAAAGTTCTTTTCGTTGATCGATCACGTCCATGTAATATGAACTTCTAATCAGAATACATAGTAGTGGCGTTTTTAATGACTTATGCAATGACTAGCAGACATCTCAATAAAATTGGTAGCACTTACCGAAAGCCAATGGAAAACAGTACTGGGATCCCAGGCAGCTCACTCGACCACGAAGAATTGGCGTTAAAATGATGGCGAATAATGAGCCGGCGTTGATGGCGAAATAGAAGAAACTGAAGAATTGTGCCCGAAGATCCTGCTGCTCCTCCGTGAACTGAAGTAAGGTACTGGTAGAATGGTAGAAGATTTAGTGGTCAGCACGCCATACCTGATCGGCTGCAAACGCAGACACGCACGGCTTAATAGCTCCCGTGGCTAAGGCGATCACAAAGAGACCACCATAATCGAAAAACGTCCGGACATCTGACACAAACATTCTCTTGTATTGTAACCAATTCATTCCATAAAGGACCCACCTAAACCCAACGTTGGCACGGCTCCGAAGGACAGTAGTACATGGCCAAGCACGTAGATAGATGAACCGTAGAGTATTACCTGAGTAAATGGAAGTAGTTACTGAACAAAACCGCTCTGCATCTGGAAATCTCACCTTGAACCTGCCCAGATATGAATCAGCAAGTACCGATCCAACCAAAGGAGATAAATATGCAACACAGGTGAATGCATGGTAGATCAGGGTGGCAAAGCTGAAAATCAACCTCATACGTTTCTTCCATCTGTCCTTGACGTTTCTTATACTCAAAAACAATACTTCTTTTCTATTTTAAAATTACTATCGGGATTAAAGCGGAGCTAGGGAAGCGGCAAGTAGTGCACTCACACATGTTCCGGGAATGGATTCCTGAGTATATTCCCCACGAATACCAAGCCTCCATCCCTTGGGGCCGGTCATTTGGCAACAGAGTCGCATGGGAGAATGTAAGCACTAACGTGTGCACGGCTTGACTCACTAAGATTTGGGATGTAGTCGAGGGGGAGAGGAAGGGGCTTCCCAAAAAACAGAGCGGAGTGGGAAGGGGCATCCCAAAAACAGAATCAATCGAAGCCGAATACCTTGATCTTCATTTTTAAACTGTTCTTACTATTACTTGTTTTTGAATTATGTAGAGTTCTTCCCTCATGACATGGTCTTAGGGAACTTGCATTTTTTAAAAGCAAGCAGGTTCAATGTGTAACGATCACTGCAGATTCGAGCGATGAAGGTTGGTAGCCGGACTGGTTTGCCCGGGTCTCGTAATACCCACATCATATAGCCAGTGAGACAAGTAAAGGTCTCAGTGCTCCTTCAAAAATCTCTTTTCGATTCTCATAACATACCCTCAGTCGATGTGATTTCATCTAGGCAAATGTCAATAGCGGTTCGGGAAGTGATGTGGGCGGTGTCAAAACTTCTTCCCTATCGAACGATTCAAACATGGATTTTAGACTCCGAGGGGGTTGAAGGCTCGAGTGCACGGACCTTGATCGTGATCTTGATCTGAAACCTGATTCCTGAGCCATGCACGTGAGGCTGACCACGTTCCACGTGACCCCTTACTGCAAGAAATTCCACCGGAACTTCTTATTTTTACAACAACGCGAACACCATTGAGGTGATTCAGCAAAGCGGCCCTGTTAGTCAACATTGTCTGACAGCGAAGCGAATGAAGTGTTAGTGTGATCGTCCATAGGCGACCCTCCATTTTTCAAAAACCGGTACAAACAGCAAGAAACATTAATGTGACATTCAGCGTTGGCTATTTTGTTCCGGATTCCCTTGAGAATTTAAACGCTCCAAGTAACCCAATGCAAAGGAAATAATCTCATCAAACGAAGGTCGTCGTCCGCCAAACGCCGAGCCGTGACTTGACAACTACGCGCATGTCTCAAGCAATACATTTCTCCCGTTGTTGACTACCAACTGCACAAAACATCTTTGAGTATGTCGTTTTTTCGTCCTGTCTCAAGTGCTCCCTGGTCAGGTTTCTTGATCCACTGAAGGTCTAGAGAGGGAAAGGGACAGTTTTTGAGAGGGATTGACGTGGCAGTGGGAAGAGAGGGAAAGAGAGTACCACGCGTCCGACCTTGACTAGAAATGCTCGGAATGTGTGAATGGCAAATGGTTCACAGAATGATTTTCGCCTACCGGAACACTCGACATTGATGACAGTTTTTGACTATTTCGAACCATCTCGGGAGCATTAAATCAACCCTCGATGGAAAAACAAATCAGGCAGCGAAACGGAATACCACCCATCGAGGGCATGCACCTTTCCCTTCTTTATTAGTCGTTTTAAGTGAGGAAATATAAGTTGGCATTATAAGTGAACCCTAAATTGCACGAGTGATTCAAGGATCAAATACTCCTCTACCGTCCCTTTGCAGGCCCTCAATGAAATGTCATGCTGGGGCAAATCAGGGCACCCACTTCCGACTCCACAAATTCTCCTATTTAGGCTGGCCAAGAATTCATGGGCTGAAAGAGGTTCCAAGGCAAAAAAATGGAGCAGCTCAGAGCTCGAAGAGCTCAAAGGAACAGCTCAAAAAAAGGGCTGATCAGCACGAAACGCTTCACGTGATCCTTGAGCTCTCAAAAGAAAACCGATTTCCGATGGTTTCTTATGTGGGCATTCCTGGTGGGGTTTTCCTGGTCGACTTATCTAAATTAGGCCTGGAAGGGCATTTCTGGCAATTGCAATGAAAAACTTCTGCATGTCCTGCTGTGAATCGCCCTATTCTCACATTCTAAAGCAGTTTTGTCCTTCGAACTGCAAACAAATTCAAGTTCTTATCAAACAGAGACGCGCGTGTTTCTTGTCGAGGATCAGCTGATTGGGTTTCTGCCCACACTCGGTTACTGTAGATGCCCAAGCCTACTTCCTAAATCTAGACATCGTAGGACAGTGAATATGAGCAGAACGAACACATTACTTAGCAGGTGAAAAGTTTGGGTGATGCGACTGTGAAAAAAATGGCAGGCGCCCACCGGGTGAAGGGTCTTGGGTTCCATTCAGGAGTCCTCTAGGGCAATTAGTGTAGCAAAGCTGTTTGAGGAGGTAACAGAAAAAACGTATTGATAGGTTGCTTACCTTTCAGTATAACCGTGTTCATAGATAAAATAGAGAGTAAGAATAGCTTTCATGCCATAAAATGAGAATCGCTCACAGAACTCGTTGCCAAGCATGAGAAAAACCGTTGGCGGATATCTGAAAAAGAAGGATTATGTCTGTGAAATCAAAATTTGAGAAGAAGATCTTACGATCGCAGTTTGGACATAAGACTGCGTTCCTTCGCTGCCGCCATTTTATCCTCTCGTTTCCGTATTTTTTGAAGGAACGGTTGACGTTGAGAAGAGCTTTCTGAAAATAATGACGATTCTACACGACGACGAGAGGTGACACTAAGCGAGAAGGACAACAGGACAATTAAAGTGGAGTAGGCGGGAGGGGTCGAGCAGGAAGTGCACGGGATTTCACAGCAGCATGTAGCATCACTATGAGCCAACCAGTTCTTCTTTCAGCGCAGAAAAGGAAGTTTCCGAGCTAGGAAGAAGAAAAATTTTGGATCAGATACAAAGCCGTCCAGCACTGGGCTGTCCCTTCTGCCCACACATGTTACTTACAGGCAATGAGGGATATCAGGATTTTTTTGAGGAATGTCGGTCCTAAATTAGGAGATGAGGTACGGAATGAGGACACAGCGAAGCATAAACAGCCCAGATCAGAAGGTCAATCACAGCCTAACATGAAGCTTTGAAGGGTGACTATCAGAAGAGTGTGAGAGCAGCTGGCACAGAGGCTGTCCGGGAGCAACCGAGCAGTTAGCTTTGTGGCTCAGGACAGGAACTGAAGGCGTAGTTAGAAGGATCGAACGGTTTTTTTCGGAACTACCACTACACGGTAGAATGGAACGGAAGGGTGATATTCCCAACCAAAGCTGAGTAATTGAGCAAACAAAATAAAAAAGAGAAAAGAAAGGAAAAGTTTTGCCTTGTGGCCTAGTGAGGTCTGAAGTCGAATGGGAATTGTAAAGCAATGGCGGAAAGGAGACAGGTCAGAATGTTGTTGGTTAGTGGGATGTCTAGAAAGTGTGACCACTGATTACTGGGTGTTCCGGGGATCGCGTAGAAAGAGATCTGGGCAGTTTCGCTCCAAAAGTCGCCCGTGACAGAAAATCGTACCGGATTTTATAATGTGTCAACCCACGTTTGGAAGTAGCCATCGGTGAAGGCACCCAGTGCTGATGGTCGTTGTAGAGTGTCGACCCGCCGTCCACTAGTCCCACATGATATGCCTCATTCCCATGTACTGGAGCGGATATATCGCAATTTACTGTCAACAGAGAGCGAATCGGTTAGTTTTGGAAGGTTGAGCCCCATTTACGATGAACTGGTTTCAGCGAGAGGGAGAGATGAGAGAAAAGAAGAAAAAATTGGTGAAGAAGAGAATCCAAGCTAACGAGCCAATTAACCAACTGGATTGGCATGGCGACTAGTATAGACGGTGGTTAAAGTGGAAAGATATCGACTGAATCGTCAGTCAACGAAAACCGTGACGCAGCCTTCTGGAATGCAATCTAGTTGCTGCATTCCTGAATGTCGTCTTCACCGTTAAAGAACGCGAGTGTATGGGTCTGCAGGCGAACGGAACGCCATCACAGACCCGACGTCATTAAAGTTTACAAACGAAGAGAATGCACATGAGTAAAAACACGATGGATATGATTGATTTCTTGTGGGAAAGGGGTCATGGGTAGAAGAAACCACGGTTCGCTGGGAAGGGAACGCAGCTGACAGCCTTAACGGCTGCGTGACCTGACGATGAGCTTCGTCGAACTGAATAAAAGAAATGCTCACGGAAGTTTGTTGGTCAGAAAGATCACCACTAAAAAGTCAGACGGGTTCCGGATCAATAGTAGCAAATTGGGCCTGAGAAAGTCAGACCGTCCAACAGACTGTTTATTTAGTTTACACTTCACATTCATTCGAAAACACGACGGTATTTGACAGTTTTGCAAAGATGTTAACATAGCACTCTCAGGAGATATGCACGGTGCGTAATTGGCCCCACAAAACAGATCTGCTAAATTCCAAATGGTTCAACGTGAAGGTGCAACGAACCAATCAAATTCTGAGATGCGCAGCACATTGGACTTCCATTCAGAATCAAAGTGACGTTTTGAATGCGTATGTGGCCTATACAATGAATTACAGTGGCCAGCCTACATACAATCAGCACAAAGATCTTCTCAAACATTCCAGATTCCAAAGAATCAAGTACGAAGGGATAGAAAATCTGGTTGACTTGGGCGAATGTTGATACGGAACCAGAGCATCCTATCCCAGGGACATGTGTGGTTGTTAGTGTACCACTGGCCACTACACCACTTTCACTTGAAAAGATTCAGTAAGGAAAACAAGTAGTGGACTCGGCGCGTCTGATTCGTACTCGAGAACTTTAATTGGTAGGCGTCACGCCGTGGATCGTCAAGAGTGAGCGAATCCTCGCCTACTGAAGGCGATCTGTTGGTAGCAAAAGTGAGAACTTTCCAACTTGGAACCATCTCATCACATATCTTATGTGTATCCCACGCAATCACGAAAACAGGTTCAAGCTGCCTTTGACACTAGCTGGAAGAAGAACTGAACTATTAGGTTGATGCATAACTATTGCGGATTTTTTCGCGGCTTTTTTTCTCTCGATAGAATTTGAATTGAGTTCGTGC